GATTTTGAAGTCTTCTAACAGTACTTGATATGGAACGTGTTGACATTATTCCTAGCATGATCTTAGCTAGTTGTGTATTACATAACATATGTTTACTAAGAGGTGATGAATTTGAAGATATCAATCCTAACAATGTACCTGAATCTGAAAATGTATATGGTAATAATATTACACAGAGCTTTCAAATATTCATTTTTATTTTGCTCGTCAGCTAAAAACTTTAACGCAGAACTAACATTATGACTGAACACCTTCGTCGCAACACCAACACGCATTTTTAAAAAATGATTTTTCTTATCCAGAAATTTCTCTTAAAGTTTCGAAGCAAGCACAAAATGTGAATTATTCTGAACAGCAATTAGATCATGTATATGAGATAATTTCGCTATATTTGTAGGTAAGTCATATTTTTTTACAAACGCGTCTGGTACATTGAAATATTCGTGATTTAAAAATTCACTTTTTATATTTTTAAATGCATGCGGAACCAAAAAACCAAAGCTTTCGTGATAAATCGCAAGGATGTTCACAAAAATTATATACTTTAGAAAATCTACTTGCGGTAATTCCAAAACATTTCCACATACTTTGATTTGCGGCATCCATATCAGACGTTACAGCATTGTTGTAAGTCTCGCCTTGACGTACTTACAACGTCACACTTAGAAATAAGCAGGTCACTGTTGCAATCTAATATTGCAACAATGACCCATAATAATTGAGGATGCCGACGCAGGACTTCGGCAGCCTCAATACGCGCGTCCTCCAAAAACTGCGGCAGTTGCAATTAAGCAACAATTGCAACTGCTGAGCAGTGCAGTGGCCCACTTAAGACGGGATAAAACCCGCCGTCCAGCGGACCACTGCGGAGTTCACATCAATCATTAACGCATAGCGTTACGCTGTCGGCACGCGCAGTCATTCAATCTGTAAGTAACACGTAAATATAGTGTATGTGTTAAACGATATACTGTGCATCAATTCTACAACCACCAAAACCGAGTCCTTCCCACGTTACACCCCAGCCACGGTGTAACATTGGTGTCAGAAGTGGGATTGCAGGAGCGATCCCAGGGAAGAGACTCACGAAGCCGACAAGCAACAAAATCTGTAAGTTTGAAACAGATACTTAAAAACCTGTCTACTGGCACGACCATAGACAAAGCATAATCAGCGTGACATATATTGCCGCTGATCCGCCGTATACGCCGATTGAAAGCAAGCCGTAGCACATTAGAAGCCGGTATTGCAAAAGGCGAAAGAAAAACGGACGGAATTAAGACGCGCAAAGAATTGCACGAACTCCCGCGTCGCATAAAAATACACTGGAGGAGAGATCCGGAACATCTACTGCCAATTTCACGAGTGGACAACGCCGTAGCAGCTTTAGAGGTGCCACGGACCTGACCACCGACAACGCTGACGCCGCATCGCAGAATATAAGGCCACCGCCGCTACCGTAACCTGAGCCGAGCCGAGCGCCGATAAGGACCAGCCGACCAGCCGGACAGCGAAAACAAGCCACCATA